CATAAGTGACTCAATTAAAAGTATTCCTGGAAGCCTGCATCCGGATTCCTCTCAACTTTGTCCTATGTGCCTTTCCCCTTTGTTGATTGTGCTGTGTATATGTTTTATTGTATTAAATCTTAGCCATGAGTATGACTAAGTGCTGAGTCTTTCCAATAAGTCACCAAGTCTAGGGGTGGTCCTGGAGATCCTTGACAGTGCAATTTAAGTCCAAAGAGCAGAAACTGTACCTTATGTCAATCTCTTAGAGTACAAACTTAGCTTATACATAACAGATATCATAGTCGGTGATTATATGTATCATCCTCTTAATATATCCAAACAAATCTACAGATGTGTTGTAGTTTTACTTCAATGTTAATATCAGTGAACCGGTTAACGACAAAAATATACACAATAATGATGGTACAAAAACAAAGAGAAAGCTTTTGACAGGTTCAAGAAACAGCTGGATAGAAGACTGATGATTATGACTATGCAAATTCTGTAATCCTCCAATTTCTGTTAATGATGTTTTGATAGTTCTCTTCCTGCCAACTTTTCCAAGACTATCCCGTGTTATTTTTTTTTTCTATTCATCTGTCTTTGGAATTTGGAAAAATCCAATGTGAGTCAAGTTTATCTGACAGAAGAGTGCAGGCATTTTATCAAGCTTCTGCGTCATCTAACTATGGCACCGTGATTTTCAAAGAAACAATTTATTCATACTTCCTCCTACTCTACTTAATTCATTTAGAACTATACCCCACTTATTAGTCTAAAGATCAAAAAGACTGCAACACAAAGGATTCATTAAAAGAAGACCCAAGGCAGTGCTGTGGCGCAGCGGGTAAAAGCCCTAGCCGGAAGCGCCAGCACCCCATATGGACACCAGTTCTAGTCCTGGTTGCTCCTCTTCTGATCCAGCTCTCTGCTATGGCCTGGGAAAGCAGTAGAAGATGGCCCAAGTCCTTGGGCCCCTGCACCCACATGGGAGACCTGGAAGAAGCTCCTGGCTTCGGATCGGTGCAGCTCCTGCCGTTGCAGCCATGTGGGGAGTGACCCAGAGGATGGAAGACTTCTCTCTGTCTCTACCTCTCTCTGTTACTCTTTCAAATAAATTAAAAAAAAAAAAAAATCTTAAAAAAAAAAAAGACCCAAGGGATAAAAGTCAGGAAGAAAGACTAAACATTCTAAGCCATTTCTGATGACATAGCACTTTTTTGGTCTTGATTTTTCATGGCATAAACAGAAGCAGGCTCTTGGTTTTAAAGCAAATATCATAATTCAACAGTTTTTATTAAATGTCAACTATGCATTTCAAAAAATAAAAGAAATAAGCAATTTTTATAAAAGCAATTCAATGACTCTTCCCTTTATGGAATTTCTACTTCCAGAAGAGAAACTTTTAATACTTGAATGCATACTTTACCAATATTTATGACCAGGACTACATCTTAAAAACATGAAAACACTAATAACAAAAAATATAAAACATCAGATTAGTAAAGTCAAACAGGTGCAACAATCAAGTTGAAAGCGGTTGCATAGCTTATCAAGTTATCTCCCTAAAACACAGGTTGGAAACTCCCAAATCCAAGAATGATGTTCCATCACCACTACTGGTAGGAGGAGATTTCTGTCTTGGCTTTGGGAAATGAGCAAAGTAGGAGGGAGTAAAAGATCTAACCATTCTAGAATTTTCCTTCAGTTCCATTCCCAATGTACTCAGCATTCATTGTGTTAATGTCTACCAGTGTATTTTAGTCATTTATTCTAGTGGCACTTACTCACTGCCAGTACCATCACTGGCAAAGAACAGCGTAAAGTTGAAGTTTGTGGTTAAATTAACTTTTTTGATTATAGAGTTCATAATCTTATCAAAGTTTCCACAACAGTAAGATCAGACATTTCAAATCTATGAATTGAGAAAAGGAGTTATACACTATTTTTCTCTTTAAAAACAAACACAAACTTTAATATTTTATCTTACATCCTTAAAACCTCATCTATAAAGAAAAAGATTCTCAGGTTGATCCCAGGTTAATAATAACAACACTGCTTAACTGTCAAAAAGTTGTAGTTTTCATTATATTAAGGTGGTACAGCTACTGTAAGTTGTACAAATTCACTGTAGAATTAGAATCAGTAAAGTTAAATTTTATAAGTTATAGGGTATATAATGTAACATTCTACATGCTATCTGTTGCTTAAGACAAATTTTGATTGTGTTCAAACACTAGGTGAAATGTGCAGCTCAGACTATGTAATCAGTATATACATAAAAACCAATAGTGTATAGATAATGGAGGCATCATGGAAGCTGGTTAAAAAATTATAATGAAGAGAGAACTAGTAAGAATATAGCAACCTGGCTGAAATTGATATTCATTAGGGTACTCTTCACATCAATAGGGAGCATTTGGACTCTGTGGTCTTTATCAGTGTCCCAGCTGGTAATGGTTGAAGGTTAATGCTTTACCCCATTCTGTTCAATTTTCTATCCTAATTAGCCCTCCAAATCTATAGCTGTGAGCACCAAGTGTCTGTGCTCAAAAGAAACTAATTAATGCTAGCAAATTAGATCAAGTCCAAAGATCCAACAGCCAAACTCTTAGTTAAATGCTCCTTGTTAATAGGAAGTGTGGCTGTCAATAAATGCTGTGGGTGACTATAATGAGGCATCTTTCTTTCATTGAAAGTGATTTCATTTCTCTTTGTCCCTGGAAAAGCTGTTCCATTCCCTTCACAAACCTAAGTTGCTGGCAGTGTGACCCAATTCTTATGATCAGCTGGGTTGAAATGACACATACACACAAAAATCAAATGAAAAGCTTTCCTAAATAATGTTTCAGGAATTTAGCACAAAGTAAGATCTCTTATTAAAATTCCTATATCTTTACCCAAGACCCATACAATCAGCATGTATAATGATTGTGTAAAAATCCTCTAATTATTTAATAAAGCAAAAGCTAAACAGGAAATAAACCACAATAGGGTTATCTTGATTCTAAATGTCTTATTGTTCAGTTTAAATGCAGCTTTCTTCTGATGCTTGAGCAACAGTAATGTAGTCTTTCCTAATTCACATGGTTAAACAGAGAGGATATTAAGGATTTAGTATTCCTTTATGAAATAATCCATTTTAGATTCTGAAACACTGTTTTGAACCATATGGCCTAAAAAAAATCAATACTAGATAAGAAATTCAAATATTCAAAAATCAATTATAGCATACATTATGATAAGCTCAAATGCAATGAAATAATCCAAACGAATTTTGGGTTTTTTGGATGCTTTCAGTATTCAGAGACTGTAAGCATATTTTTAAAAAGCTAAAAATTTAACCATGTCAACATCCTCAACAACATCTGATGAAGTGAAAATTAGACTTTTTCTGTACCATTATAAGTAGTTACACAACACAAATATTTTGAAGTAATTCTCTATTATTTCAAAGACCAAAAGCAAAATATCACTCTCTAAAGGTAAAGGCATTCTAAAACCCAAAGCCATATACAACCATTTTGCATTTTCATCTGAATCATGTCAGTAAGTCTATAATTGAGTTAGCTAATTTCCTTTCATCCTCAATGAGAATAATGCATTAAAAAGCAGCACAAATACAACTTCCTACTGATATATCTGTCTAAAGTTATAAGTAAATCTTCCTGGTAGTTAATTTAACACTGTAGCTTTCTTTTCTTTAAGTTTTACCCTCCCTCACCTGAATGAGGATATATATCCGCACTTTAAAAATCTGAGGCAGTGGAGGATTACCACTTGAGACGATCAGCACGACACCTGCCAACGCCAGATGTGCACTGAACCTTGCCTGCAGGTGCCAGGGGTGGGGTTAGAGGGAAAGTACTCCAATTAAACAACTAATTCACCGTGAGAGCAAGAATAACACTGAGTAATTATTTGTCTTAAATTACTAATTTATGAATGGATTTAGAAGTTGAATAGTTCATAAGAAGTCATTTAACACAGATGACCATCACACGATGGCGAGTCTACAGAATTACTCTTATTTTATTGCCTCCATACATCAATTGGAAAGGTCATCTCTAAAGGGTGGGAAACAGAAGGTGACAGAAATGTTCTTAGTATCCGAATGTTTGACACAGTCCTGGAACTAGAGTTGACACAGACTGGCCCTGCTGCAGACACGCCTGCAGTGCCCACCACCCTCACTAAGAATCCCTGCACCCCCTCAACAGATGACTGACTGCATAGGAAAGCTAAGGGGAGTTAGCGCAACAGCCTGCATCAGCTCAATGTTGCTACTTTGATGGCCAATCCAAGACAGATTTCTTTTTAAAAGGCATTTATTCCTACAGTATTCTTTCATCTGCTTTTCTAACTACTTATCATATAGAGGTACCACAGACGGACTCATTTTTACCTTAGACTGCTTTGTTTATGTTTTTGCTGGAACGTTACATACTAATTAATATGTCCCCAGACGTGTAGGAATATTTCATGTTAAAAACATTTTCCAAGAAAACAAGTTTATGTGGGTGCCTACGACATACATTTACGTGAGAATCATCTACTTAGAAAGCAAAGCAAAACAAAAAAGACCCAGACTCATTTAAGTCCTACTGGGATTCCATTAATAGACGATGACATTAAAGAAAATCATACTAGAATATATATAGGAATATGTTGATAGATGACAAACAGGCACATAGTTGGCTTGATGATACTTATTTCCCTGTCAAAAATTATCAGAAACTCATTTCTCCAAAATACATACACCAAGTTTTTCTCTATATCTAACTGTACTTCTGGGAAAAAATGGATTTTTACTAGTAATTTGAGGAAATATTTTTAAATTGTAAATGTATTAAACACAGCCTGGAAGTTCTGAAAGCTGACATACTGGTATCTCAGTGAAAGGGTGAGAAGCAATTCATACATGTTAATTCACTGACTACTTGACTCTGAGGCAAAGGATTAAATTCAGATCATATTATTAAAAATGAATTTGATCTTTATGAATATTGGAATCCTACCTTGAACTTGTTCAGAACACCTCTCTTTGGCCTTCTCTCTCATTATTTTAGGAATCAAAACGTCTTTTTCAACATGTCTGAGATGCTGCTCTGGAAAAAGAAAAAAACAGGTTCTTTAATACAGTAAAGAACCAAGTAAGCCAAGAGATTAAATAAAAAGTAAGCACTCGGTTCACTTAAAGCCTATGTACAGATCGGTGCTGTGCTGCGACAGCTTAAAGCCCTGGTCTGCAGTTCCAGCATCCCATATGGGCACCTGGTCAAGTCCTGGCTGCTCCACTTGCTGTCCAGCTCTCTGCTATGGCCTGGGAAAGCAGTGGAAGATGGCCCAAGGCATTGGGCCTCTGCACCCACGTGAGAACCAGAAGACGCTCCTGGCTTCGGATCGGCACCGCTCCAGCCGTTGCAGCCATCTGAGGAGTGAACCAGCGGATAGAAGACCTCTCTCTCTCTGTCTCTGACTCTCTAACTCTTTCAAATAAATAAATCTATGTAAACATAATAAAAAGTTGATTTAAGAAAAAAAGATTTAATTATCTATCTTAAAGGCAGAGTTACAGAGATCTTCTCTCTGCTGGCTTACTTTCCAAATCACACAAGAACTGGGGTTGGGCCTGGCTGAAGCTAGGAGCCTGCAACTCCATCTGAGTCTTCCATGTCGTTACCAGGAACCCAAGCATGTGGGCCACCTTGTGCTGCTTTCCCAGGAGCATTAGCAGGGAGCTAGATCAGAAGTGGAGTAGCCAGGACACGAACCAGCTCTTATGTGGCATGCTGCCATCACAGGTGGCAGCTTAACCAGCTATGCCACAATGCAGGCCCCCAAAACCCGAATTTTTCACAACTTGATAAAATTATGCTTATTGCATTCACTGAAAATCATTCAAAATACCTTTTTATATACAATACAAAAATGTTAGGAATACAGGCAATACCTTTCTAAAACTTTCCACAAACTTTATTTCAATATTTGTACTTATAATATCTTCCATGTAACCTTGTCAAAAATAAATCATTTCCTTATTAATACACAAAAAAGGATTTTCACCAATACTGAGATCCCAGAATAGGTGAAGATATTTGAGATTAAAAGACATACAAGTACTTCTTCTACCTCGTAATAAGAAAGAGCTGGCAGAAGAAAAAGCGAAACTACAGATCCATACACAAAACAAAGCACACGGGATTCCTACACTTAACTTCGACAATGAGACTAAAATGGCAGACTGGTCACCTGCTCCAGAATCATACCCGCTTTTTAAATTGAGTGTTAAACAAGCAGCAAGCGTCCTCAGTGAACCCAAAGTGACAAGGAACCACAGAAGGACAAATGGCAGATTCAGAGGTAATCATACTCCATAGAATACTGAGGAAAAAAACCGATGCCAAAGGTGGGTGCTTCGTGCCGAGAAGCAGCAAACATGGGGAGCCAGGAAACTTCCCTGGAGGAATCTTAGGAGGTGGAAATATTTGAGTAGGAGTCAGTCACCTCCTGTGCTGCCTTCAGAACATGGGTAAAAGACGTAAATACTGCAATCTATCCCCAAAGGATCAGGATGTTTCACAGTATCCAGTGACACCCAGGTAGACAGGGAATCCTAGGCTCCTCCTGGTACTCTATTGCACCCACCATCTTCCAGATGCAGGCAGCTATCCACTGATCATGGATATTTTCAAAATATCTCAAAAAAGCAAATAAAGTCAGCACAGAACGACCAAGAGTCATCCAGATTTGAAGAAAGGCACACAAAAGAACAAATTCTTATTAAAGTAACCAATTCCTAAGAGGTTAAATGAGTAAAAGGAGTACGATTTTAAAGTATAATTAGGCCAGCGCCGCGGCTCAATAGGCTAATCCTCCGCCTGTGGCGCCGGCACCCCTGGTTCTAGTCCCGGTCACTCTTCTTCCAGTCCAGCTCTGCTGTGGCCCGGGAGGGCAGTGGAGGATGGCCCAAGTGCTTGGGCCCTGCACCTGCATGGGAGACCAGGAAGAAGCACCTGGCTCCTGGCTTCGGATCAGCGCAGTGCGCCGGCCGCAGCATGCCGGCCGCAGCGGCCATTGAGGGGTAAACCAACAGAAAAGGAAGACCTTTTTCTCTGTCTCTCTCTCACTGTCCACTCTGCCTGTCAAAAATAAATAAATAAAAATTAAAAAAAAATAAAGTATAATTAACATTCTGAGGCAAATAAAACGATGAGTCCTCAGACAGAAATGGACCACAGGTCACCTGAACGTATTTTGCTGAAATGTCTAAAAGCCCCAAATCCTGAAAGGTTCAGAGGGGAAAACGCTCTGCCCCCATGACAGAGGCATGACAATGAGCAGTATAGCCTATCTTACTGGCAAGACACAGATGCCACAAGACAACAGAGAACACCCCAAGGTACTGAGAACTACTTTATATCCAAGATTAAGAAATCAATTCTATCACCACTTAAGAGAGGAGTTAGAAGTGTGCATTTACCCTAGTAGCTAAGCCACTCCCATCTTGTATGGAAATGCCTGGGTTCAAACCCTGCTCTGGTTCCCGACTCCAGTTTCCTATCAATACAGCCCCTGGAGGCAGTTTTGATGGCTCCAGTAACTGCATTCCTGCTATTCACATGGGGATACCTAGGCTGTAATAGCCGAATTAGGACTATAAACCAAAACACCTACACATGGCTTCTCCATTTGCTATGGCTCCAAGTATGGCAGTGGGTTCTAAAAGAGAGCAATCTGAGAATGTCTGGAATGTTCCAAGATAACCAAGTGAAAGCTCTATGGCCTTCAGACCTTATTCTGGGAGCACCATTCCTGCTACATGATATATTTCAAGCCACTAAGAAAAGCCCACATGCAATCAGAGGGGAATTATCATTCTATGTCACAAGGCCATATTGCAAAACAGCATGAGAGATGAAGATAATGTTGTGGCCTTGGCCTTTTTATAAAATAAAAGCTGCCACAAGTAATACAAAATATACTGATAAAATAAAAATGAATCCATGAAAAATGAGGATACATAAAGCACATTATAATTTTAACATGTAAATTTAAATGTTTTTCTAAAGTACTTGAAAAAAACATTATCAACTAACTTGATCTAACATTTATAGAATATTTCAATTAATAACAATTAATATTGACCAATATAAACCATACTTTGGCTATGAAACAAATCAACAACTCTGAAAGAATTAGAGCCATTCAGAGTATTTCTCTCACATCAATGTAATTAAACTAGAAATCTCTCTGGATAATCTGAAAATATCTGTAAGGTAAATAACACATTTTTAAATAGCTCATGGGCATAAAGATGTGTCAAGATGTCAAAGGGAAATTCAAAAGTAGTTTGATATGAATGAAAATGAAATTATTATTTATATATCAAAATCTGTGTGATCATCTAAAATAGTATTAAAACCCTATGTAGGGGCCTGCACAGTGGTGTGGCAGATTAGACCTCTGCCTGTGGCACTGGCGCCCAGCGTCAGCACCAGTTTCTGTCCTGGCTGCTCCTCTTCCAATCCAGCTCTCTGCTGGTGGCTTGAGAGGGCAGTAAGGAATGACCCAAGTGCTTGAGCCCCTGCACCCACATGGGGACCCAAAGGAGGCTCCTGGCTTCAAACCAGTCCAGCTCTGGTCATTGCAGCCATTTGGGGAGTGAACCAGCAGATGGAAGATCTGTCTGCTTCTGCCTGCTTCTCTTACCATAAAACTGCCTTTCAAATAAATACATAAATCTTTAAAAAAAGGGGGGGGGGCACTATGGCGTAGTGGGTAAAGCTGCTGCCTGCAGTGCTGGCATCACATATGGGTGCCAGTGCGAGTCCCAGTTGCTCCACTTCCAATCCAGCTCTCTGCTATGGCCTGGAAAAGCAGAAGATGGCCAACATGCTTGGGCGCCTACACCTGTCAGGGGGTCCCTGAAGAAGCTCCTGGCTTCTCAGCAGCTCAGCTCTGGCCGTTGCGGCCATCTGGGGGTGAACCAGTGGATATGAAGACCTCTCAGTCTCTCCCTCTGTCTGTAACTCTCTCAAATAGAATCTTAAAGGAAGAACAGCACAGACAAATGAAACCCTAAGCTAAAATCAATGAAATCAAAGCTGGTTCTTTGAGACAATAATTAAAATCAATAAACCACTTCTCAGACTGAGAAAAAAAGCCAAAAATTTTAAACATCAAAAATGAACATTGGGGCTGGCGCTGTGGCATAGTAACTATGGGCACCAGTTCGTGTCCCAGCTACTCCTCTTCCGATCCAACTCTCTGCTTATGGCCTGGGAAAGCAGCAGAAGATGGCCCAAGTGCTTGAGCCCTTGTACCTGCATGGGAGACCTGGAAGAAGATCCTGGCTCCTGCCTTTGGATAGGCCCAGCTCCAGCTGTTACAGCTATTTGGGGAGTGAAATAGCAAATAGAAGACATTTCTGACTCTCTGCCTCAAATAGATAACATCTGTTTTTTAAAAGTGGTGAAAATTTTTAAATGTTAATAGAATATTATAAAAATATTGGCCAGTATATTTGACAATTAAAATGAAGTGGAAAAATTCCTCAAAAAGCAACCAAACCTCACCCCAAGACACAACTAGTATGGCCTGTTTATTAAAGAAACCAAATTTATTGTTAAAAGCCTTTCCACAAAGGAAATTCCAGGCCCACATGGCCTTGCTGAGGAATTAACCAAGTATTTAAGAAAAAAATGCCAATTCCACACAAACTGCTCTAGAAAATTACTCTGAGGCCAGCACTATCGTGGTAATGAAACCAGACAAACGTATTACAGGAAACTATAGTCCAACATCCTCCCTGAACATACCTGTAAATGCAAAAATGTTAGTAACAAGATTAGAAAATGGAATCCATTAACATACAGAGATAATATTTCATGACCAAGCAGGATTATCCCAGGATTACAAGATTCATTTAACATTCAAAAAACAAGCATAAATTGTCATATTAAAAAAACTGTAAAAGGATAAACATATGGTTTTCCCAATAGACAAGGAAAATACATTTGACAAACATCCAATATCTAGTTCTTAGGAAGAGAAGGAAATTTTCAACAAACAGCATCACAGAAAACAGCTAAAAATCATACTTAAT